CTACCACCATGCACACCAGCGTCATGTTCCACTAGTGGCACGCCAGCCTCTGATTCAGTTTCTGCCAGATCATCTTTCACGGGAGCATCTTCAACTCCCTCAAACCGGTGCTAGGCCTTGTCTCTCCCGTGGTCTCCCTCCTCGAGATATGTTCCCTCCTTACTAGGATAAGCCGATAAAGTATGAGGTCCAGCCAAATCGTAGAAGCCTTCGGACATTGCAGAAAGGGGTGGGCAGTATCTTTGAAGGTACATGCATCTTCCATTTTATTGTTGGGGTTGTGTCTTGGTAAATCTAATGGTTAAAAACATTGTTTAGAAGGAAAGTCAAACCTTTCATCCTCGCTAAACAAGCATAATTTTGCTAGGAAAAATAGTCAAGTGTCTAGACCGAATAGATTGTCTACAAAACAGAAAACAAAAATAACGAGGCATCAGTTTTGGAATCCTATAGAGAATGAAAACGGTAATCTCCTCCATAAATTACCACGGTCCTATTGAAATATGATCTATACTTGTCGGCCGCCAAAGAAGTGTATGTTGTCAATGGCCAAAGCCGTAGCTGCGCCGTTCACAAACCCACACATCACCAGTATAAGGGTTTCCTAGTGCAAGCATGTTGTTTGCATGATAGTCGTCAACACCAATTAAGGAGGGCCATTGAGGTGGACATGATGTAGGGGCCTCCAACATTGAGGAAGCCACTCAGGTCACCTAGAAGAAACTAGGTTTGTCGCGGGAGCAATGAGTTGTGGTGGAGGAGGACATGAACTCTAGGGTTAGGGAGGTATTCAAGGCTGCCGACAGGAAAAAGGGTGTCGCATGGAAAATCATATAATAATGACCTTCTACCCGCAAAACAACACCTCTATGATGAGATTGGCAAAACTGCCCCTGGCGGAAGCGCAACCAAGTGACATAGATCTCCTCCCACCACAGCCAATGGTGGATAGTACAACCCGCGATAGCCTTTGGCACAAGCAACCTACTGCATTGGCTTGTTGTGGAAGTGAGTGCTCCAAGGGATGCACGCACTCAAAACTCTTTTCGTCTTTCTGCGATAGGGGGTGGCGCAAGCCCACGCTAACTAGATTTCTTGTGACATGTTTATTCTCGGATATTTGTTGTCGTCTGCAAGTTTGCGGCGGACGTAAATGCTATCAGCCTACCACTATTTGTTTTCCATAATTATGTTCACATTTATTTCGAGTACTAGCAAATAGGATACATAGCGAGATACCATAACTCAAATTAAGATACATACGAATATTTCAATTAAAATATATAACTAAAATTAAGATCAAACCATATTCTCAAAACTACAACTTAATTCTACTGAGTCTAAAGGGACAATTTCCCTTTCCCATTGTCACCTTCTTTGGTTGCATTTGCATAGTCTGCCCCATGTCTCGCCCTTCCTATGCATGTCCACCTCACGAGCCTCCTTCTCATGAAGTTCCACCTCCTTACATGCGTCTTCCTCATTTTTCTTGATTAGCTCAAGCATATGAAACTCAGCTGCTCTGAACTATATCTTTCATCTCCCTCTCTTGCTCACCTTTTGCTAGCACCGCCTCCTTTTACCGGTGCTCGTCCTTATACAAGATTTCACACACACACAATCCCTATCAAGATTCTTGCACAAAGTAACACAAAAATGGCATGGTTTGTAAAAGAATTAACAAAAATAAAAACATGTCTCGTCATTGTCATTGCCGTTAAAACTTAATGGTGGCTTGTGATGTCTACTACACAACCTTCTTCTTGTAGACGTCGTTGGGCCTGCAAGTGCACAGGTTTGTAGGACAGTAGCAAATTTCCCTCAAGTGGATGACCTAAGGTTTATCAATCCGTAGGAGGCATAGGATTAAGATGGTCTCTCTCAAACAACCCTGCAACCGAATAACAAAGAGTCTCTTGTGTCCCCAACACACCCAATACAATGGTAAATTGTATAGGTGCACTAGTTCGGCGAAGAGATGGTGATACAAGTGCAATATGGATAGTAGATAAAGGTATTTGTAATCCGAAATTATAAAAACTGAAAGGTAGCAAGCAATAAAAGTGAGCGTAAACGGTATTGCAATGGTAGGAAACAAGGCCTAAGGTTCATACTTTCACTAGTGCAAATTCTCTCAACAATAATAACATAGATAGATCATATAAAAATCCCTCAACATGCAACAAAGAGTCATTCCAAAGACACTAATAGCGGAGAACAAATGAAGAGATTATGGTAGGGTACGAAACCACCTCAAAGTTATTCTTTCGGATCAATCTATTCAAGAGTTCGTACTAGAATAACACCTTAAGACACAAATCAACCAAAACCCTAATGTCACCTAGATACTCCATTGTCACCTCAAGTATCCGTGGGCATGATTATACAATATGCATCACACGATCTCAGATTCATCTATTCAACCAACACAAAGTACTTCAAAGAGTGCCCCAAAGTTTCTACCGGAGAATCAAGACAAGAACGTGTGCCAACCCCTATGCATAGGTTCATGGGAGGAACCCGCAAGTTGGTCACCAAAACATACATCAAGTGGCACATGATATCCCATTGTCACCACAGATAAGCACGACAAGACATACATCAAGTGTTCTCAAATCATTAAAAGACTAAATCCGATAAGATAACTTCAAAGGGAAAACTCAATTCATCACAAGAGAGTAGAGGGGGAGAAACATCATAAGATCCAACTATAATAGCAAAGCTCGGGATACATCAAGATTGTGCCATAGAGGGAACACGAGAGAGAACTCGAGAGAGAGAGAGATCAAACACATAGCTACTGGTACATACCCTCAGCCTCGAGGGTGAACTACTCCCTCCTCATCATGGATAGCGCCGGGATGATGAAGATGGCCACCGGTGAAGGATCCCCCTACGGCAGGGTGCCGGGAAGGGCTCCCGAGAGGTTTCTGGTGCCTACAGAGTCTTGCGGCAGCGGAACTCCCGATCTATCTTGATATTCGATGTTTTTAGGGTACGAAGGCTTATATAGGCGAAAGAAGCCGGTCGGGGGGGCCTCGAGGGGCCCACGAGAGGGTAGGGCGCGCCCAGGTGGGTGGGCGCGTCCCCTGTCTCGTGGCTTCCCCGATGACCCCCCGGCTTGCACTCCAAGTCTCCTGTATCATAATCTTTCCAAAAATCACGCTGCCGAAGGTTTCATTCCATTTGGACTCCGTTTGATATTCCTTTTCTTTGAAATACTGAAACAGGCAATAAAACAGCAATATGGGCTGGGCCTCTGGTTAATAGGTTAGTCCCAAAAGTAATATAAGTGTATAATAAAGCACATAATCATTCAAAACAGATAATAAAATAGCATGAATGCTTCATAAATTATAGATACGTTGGAGACGTATCAGCATCCCCAAGCTTAATTCATTCTCGTCCTCGAGTAGGTAAATGATAAAAGAAAGAATTTATGAAGTGTGAATGCTAGAGGTGCACAAGTTTGATCAATGATAACTTCAATCACCTTTACTAGCATGAATATATGTCATAACAGTAGTTCATCTCATAAAACTATTCATAATCAAGTAACAAGCTATTCACATGTTAAAGCATAGATGATAAATTTTCTTGAAAACTAGCAAACTTCATTCTTAGTCATCAAACAATTGCAATTCATCCTATTTTCAGGAAGGGTTTATGTCAGAGCTTTGATTTAGCAAACTTCACATACTCAACTATCATATAGTCTTCTACAATTGCTAACACTCACGCAATACTTGTGGTTATGAAGTTTTAATCAGACACAGAGAAAGATAGGGGCTTATTGCCTCCAAACATATTCACCTTTGGGTGATGTCAACGATAATAGTTCATGCTAACGTACATCCAATTGATATATATATCAGGATCACCCTAACACAAAGTGCTTGCCAAAGGATAAAATGAAAAAGGGAAAGGTGAAGATCACCTTGACTCTTGCATAAAGTAAAAGACATAAAGTAAAAGATAGGCCCTTCACAGAGGGAAGCAGAGGTTGTCATGCGCTTTTAGGGTTGGATACACAAAATCTTAATACGAAA